AATCGCAATACTGCAACTCACTTTTATTATATAATAGAATCAATAGTTTCAGGTCAACAGGTCAATCAGGTCAGGTCAATCTTCATACCTGACCTGAATTTTTTTTAAAAATCTCATACCTGACCTGAATTTCAGGTCAGGTCAGGTCAGGTTACCTGAATTTGGCTGACCTGTTCGGAGCTCTATGAAGAAGTTTGCAGAAAAGAAAGGAGGCTTTTGCCTTACAGCTGAGTATGTTAATAGACGGGATCCTCTTAAATGGCAGTGTAAAGAAGGACATAAGTGGAAGGCTTCGGCAAAAGATATTCTTAAGGGAACTTGGTGTCGAAGGTGCAGTATACTAGGTCGAAAACATGTTATACCAGATAAAAAACCTATCCCGGTACAAAGACACGATCATGTTACACATCAATCTATTGATATAGCAAATAGTATTGCACAAGAACGAGGTGGTAAGTGCCTTTCTACAGAATATGTTAATGCAAATACTCAAATGCTTTGGATAAAGGTCATAAATGGTTTGCTAGTTTTAATAGTATTAAGCATGTTAAATCTTGGTGTCCATATTGCTTAAATAAACATGAAAATCTGTGTCGTGAAGTCATAACTAACATTCTTGGCCCACCTTCCAGCGTGCGCCGACCAGATTTCTTGAAAATACCTGAACACCCTCGAGGACTAGAACTCGACATCTACTATCCACAGTATGGATTTGCTATAGAGGTACAGGGAAAACAACATGAGCAACATGTAAAATACTTTCACAAAGATCCGGAAGAGTTTGAAAAACAGTTGATGCGTGATCAGCTCAAAAAAGAACTTTGCGAGAAGAATTCAATTGTTTTAAGATATGTTTGGTATTACGAGGATCCATACAAAGTTATTCCAAATCATCTTCGAGAGTTGGGTCTCATTGAATAAATCCAAAACTTTAAATGCTTTATTTATAACCATTATACATGTGTATGGTAATTTTTTTTGTATGTTTGCATTCTGATATATTACATTTTTTATTTAAGCTAGGAATTTGTAAAGACAGAAAATTTTGAAAATACTAACAAGTAGAACTAAACTTTCGGAACTGGCACACTTCCAGAGAGCAAGTAGCTACATTGTCAATGTATAGGAGGACATGAGAGCAGACAATTATGCCACGCTATGTCATGCCCACTTTGCCAAGCACAACACCAAGAGATTTTTCTGCAGAGGCAGAATTTAGTCTTGCTGATGTGGTCCGGTTGTCATTAGCGAGGCCTCCCCTATTTTTTTAAAGAAAGGTTTGGCCATTTGGAATTGTTTTGAAGCAGTAGGTTAGTAATGCAATCATACAAATCCAACGCTAAACACCCTCCTATGAGATGGATTGCAAACAATAGACCATATGTCATATTTGGATGAGACAATCACACAGTTCAGTTCAAATACATATTATAAAAATAATGCGACTTAAAACTTCATTTGTTGAAAACTTTGCTTAATCAAGCTAACTACTTAATGCAAATATATATAAAAAAGTAAAAGTTAAACTGAAGAACCATATTATAATGTTCGTGACTTTTTTGAAGTAGGTGTTCCGGTAATTTTTCCAAAACAGCCTCCGATATCAACATTGGCATGCTCTTCCCGGTCTTTTCCTTTTCGCTTTCTTCTATGTGCTCGAGCATGAGACAAAGCAATATCATTTGCTTTGTTGCATATAGAGTGGAGGGTAGCCTATTATAGTATAATCGCGTTAAGAATTGCGTCATAAAGCAGTAACATAACGAACTAAAAATTACCTTGACATTTTTCATTTCAATGTAAAATTTTTCTAAACATGCAAGCGTTCTTATAGAATTGGGCAATGCTGTTGTACACAACTTTCCATACCTACAAATGTTTGTCCCTTTGCAATCCATAGCAAGGACCAGCCTTTAAAACAAAATAATATAAGTAAATAAGTAATTAATTATTAATGAGGGTTGGTTATGTCAATTATCTGTTTACCCCATGATTGGACTCCGAGAATAAATATTTTATGTAAATCTTCATCTGGGGAGTTTGCATTAGATTTAAAAAATGCATGTAGGATATCTCTCATAGTTATGGATAAGTCAAGTGAGTCCAAAAAAATCTTTTTACGATGTGGTTCTGGCAGACCACCACTTCGGAGTCCTGTTATCGCTTCTAATTTATTTATACTATGCTTTAATGTTCCCCTAAAGTCACATTTTTGTCCCACCCGAGCGCGGAGTGTAATTGAACGACCTTCGTTACGTCGTTGAGCTGAAGCCCAGGAGCAGATCTCCCCCCTAAAGAAATATGTATATTTATGTGAAGGATTGGTGAATGAAAAAGCCATCAATAGTATAATCTCCTTCAACTTACGAGTCCATTTTCAGTTCGGTATTATCGAGAAATCTTCTTATGAGCATATTTGTAAATAAATTGTCATAAGCAGACTCTGAAACCGGCAGATCAACACCGGCCAAGTTCTCGGCACTGTGAAAAAATGCCAAAGAGAAATTCAAATTGTAGTAAGAATTCACCTCAAGAAAAAGTCTGTACTGTATTTCACTTACTATGTTAAGACCGCCCTTTTGACTTCGATCATGTAGGCTTTATCGCGTTCACTGAGTGTGATCTTGTGTTTTGCTTCTAATTCTTGCAAGGAAATCCCGTCAATTGCCGTTACAATAGCCTCATTCTTCCCATCAGTCTTTATTATCTGATACGGATATAACAATATAACATGTGCAAAATCTGAACATAATATACATCGATCGTCATTAGTTACCTCATCAATTTCATCAAAAAATAGATATACAGCGTCGGGTATATCCTCTTCAATAACTTCAATTTCGTCCTCGAAGCTTTTTAACATTTCATTCCAATCTTCCGTAGTGAAGAGTTTCTTTGTTTCTGTGTGAGACCCGGTGAGGTCGAGGATTCCCCAGTAAATAGGACTATTGAACAGAACAGTCCATGAAATATAGCGTCGTTAAAAGATGCAATCACCAATGAAAAAATAAACTTACTCAATACACTTTTGCGACTCAGGGATTTGGTATCTATAAGTGGTCAAAACTTGACCCACATCAGTTTCACTTGATAAAATCCAGCGCTTTGTCCGACCTATAGCGTCTGGTTCATTTCTTTCCACAATTTTTGAGTCTTCACCTGGGACGAGGACATCAATCAGCGCTTTACCATCCATTGTAACAGATGGGCCACCGTCTCCATCTTCATTGTCTCCATCTTTATCGTCTTCCTCTTCATCGTCTTTATCTTTATCGTCTTCCTCTTCATCATAATCGTTATCGTCTTCACCGTCTTTATCTTTATCGTCTTCATATTCATCGTCTTTATCTTTATCGTCTTCCTCTTCATCATAATCGTTATCGTCTTCACCGTCTTTATCTTTATCGTCTTCATATTCATCGTTTTTCGCATCAAATTCCTTCTTGTTATTGTCATCTTCATTTTGTAACTCACCGAGATGAAGAGAGCTCAAATATTCTTTTTCTTTTCGTGTATGTCCGTCTAAGGTTTTTCTGTAAGAACCTTCTTCCTTTCTTTTCCAGAACTCCGTTATTTCATAAGAGTTAACTATTTTCTGAGGTAGAGAACGAATATACAATATCTTTGCGATGAGTTTTCGTCCGCTTTTAAGTTTTACCTCCCAATGCATGCATACATACCGTAGAAGTCCTAATTTCGGCCAGAATTTTATTTAATAACAACTGACCGATCGATTTCTCAGTAGAAAGTCTCGAGAGATGATTAAAGTAGAGTGTATGAACTAGTTGTTTTTCATGCAGTTGTAAATCTAGCTTAGAATCAAGCTGTCGAAGACAATTTAACATCCCAACACCTTTAGAAGCCGTCTTTCGATTCCAGTAGACTAAAATTCCTGCTTTGATTAGTTCTTTGCGATAATCTGAAGACATGGCACTTTAACGTGTAATTAGATTTGGAACTTTGAAACTGTAAAACGCGTAACTGATGATTATCAATCTAATGTAGATGATTATTACGTTCTTGGTGATACCAACCTAATCATAAGATTTATTACAGAACTAATATTGTGAAAAAAAGCTTTTTATTATATTTTTCATAAAATATTACATGAAAAGAAGCCGTAAGACTAAAAAATGAAACGGGTAGTGGTGTTTAAAGGGAGGAATAAAAGCATAAAATATGCCTGCCCGCCCCTAGACGTCTTTTACACAAGTAAAAGGATGGCAGTTCCTTCCCACTACTCCGCATTATTATTTACACTATCACTAAATTCTTTACTATCTACCCATCTCATAATTGACATTATTATTCTAAACTTTGGATCCCCTCCGCCATAATAAAAATTTTTTACAGTTTCTTTCCTAATCTTTTCCCCAGTAAGTTGACGAATTTCACGTCTAACGGTTTCAAACGCATAATCTAAAGTTTCTCCTTCTTCCTTATTCGAATTAAAAACTCGCTTAAAATGGTTCCTATTTTCTTCAAGAGATGAATCAGATAATCGACTAGAAAAACTTTCGCTACTAGAGGAATGGTTGGCTACACTCAACTGATCAATTCGACCTGAAGTCTTTGGGCAATTGCATAACATTGGATCATTTCATTTCGGAGAGCTTCAATAGAGGTTCTGATCGAAGTGAATTCAGATGAAATGTTGCCAAAATCATTACGGCAGGCTTCTTCGATATTATCAAGTCTTGTGGTCGCATTATTGATCATCGATAAAATTTTCTGCGCCTCAGAGGCATATCCAGCATCACGTGAATTGATTTTAGCGATTTCTCCGGTAAGTTTCTTATTAAGTTCATTGTTGTTTCTCACAAGCTCCGCAGTGAAAGTAGAATTAATTCGGAAATACGTTCGGAAAGTTCGTTGGCGATTTTAGAATTAATTTCCGCAGTGAGTTTACTGAAGATGTTTTCGATTTCCGGTGTATCAAGATCATTGACGATTCTATTGACATATGCAGAAAGTTCATCGGAAATTTTTTGTTTGAGATTTGACCACATGGTAGCGATCCCTATGATTAACACTGGACCAATGAACAAAAAAACAGCGGTTAAGGTCAAAAAAGGCATGACTCCCGAAGAGTTGAGCAATGACAAACTGGACATGATTAGGCGTAGTAATTTTATTGAGATTTTATTGGTGGATCAAGTTTTTTAGATAATATCGCTTGATTTTTTTTAATAGCAATAGTTATCTTGCGTAAATGCGCTGGGAAAAAGGTTTATTTTATACTGTATGCCTACTATGCGCGAAAAGAGAATTTAACCCGATTTAATAAAAATTACGTGTATTTGTCATAACTATATTTTTCATAATTATATTTTTTCAGCTAAAGCAATTATAACGGCCTGGATCCCGTCTAATAATAACAAATGTTCCTCCCTGAATTTAACAATACGGCTTAAAAGTAAATCCGACGAATTACGATTCTATGACAACTTAATGTAACACTAATGGAGCAATGCCGTGTCTCAAAATTTTCCGTTTACTTCTAAGATCTCTTGCAAAACAGAAGATCGCATGTGGGTATCTTTGTTTAAGTTCACAGCCTCCCCAAAAAAGGAAGTTCGTTATGTAGAATAGTTATTATTACCCTACCCTATTTCAATTGTAAGAATAAAAATCGGAATATTTGTTCATCATGGATCGAGATCCGTAGATGACGAATCACACATGTATTACTAATTCCTATTCAAAAACGGATTAATATGCGATTAGCCTATATACGTAATTTGAATGCGCTAACGTTAGTAATGCTAGTAAGGTAATAAAAATCTACCGTTTATCAGCATCAAGCGCTCGAAGATCATGCCGATTTCCATATTCATTTCGTTCTATCACCATGATCTGCGTAATACAAGTCAGGGCTGATTAATAAAAATTATACCAGAATCTTCGAGTAAAAAACATACCAGAACTTTCGGGAAAGTGTATAACGAAAACAACACAAAAAATTCTTAGCAATGACTGCAACAGTGGCGTAGTCATATCACATGTCCATATCTGTGGATGCCGGTGAGGTACTACTGCGCATATAAATATATAATATTCTGCTGAACCAGTGACGTATTACTGCGGACGTTTTACTGCGCACGATATCTAAGCCACCCACGTGATTCGAAAAAAAAAAGACAATCTAGTCTATGCGAATATGCAATTCATCCAATAATTCTCCTAGGCGGTTACCGGAGAGATAATAGGACTCATCATTGGTGAGACTTTCCTTTCGTATCTTCCGTCACGATAATAATAACCTCTATCACGTTCACCATATTCATTATATCCACCATATCCATCATAACCATCATCATCCGATTCATCTGGCATCTCTTCTTCAGAATCGTTGTCGTGACTACAGTTACTATCATCGTCTGTCTCAACTGATTGCGAAACAACTTCTTCATTCGTTGACTGAGGTGCAGTTGATTCCTTTGGAGGCAAGATCTCCAATACATTATTCTGATCGGGTTCCTCTAGAACCTCGTTATCTTGTTCTACGTCCTCAGTATCATCAATAAATTCCATATTAGGCTTTTCGGTGAAGTGATCTATAATTATTTGAATCTGAGGATCAGTAAATTTCGAAATAGTATCCGCACTATATGTTTTTATGTATTGAAGCTTGTCCATTCCTATTTTTTCGAATAAATCGTCAATTCTCAAAGCTTTCTGTGTTTGTCTACATAAAGTTTTGCGTTTAGTATCGGGAAGTTGTTTGATAATAAAATCGTATACCTGACCTTTCGCTTTCTTTTCCCCAACTTTGTTGCTGACCATAAAATCTTTATACATGCGCTTGAATTCTCTAGCATAGAAACACCAACGCAAAGTTTCTTCTCTATTGGCTTCGATTGCTTTCTTTTCTGCACCGCACGCGGTTTCATATAGACTAATGATATCAGGGTGGACCGCTCGCTCTTCATTTTTCTCTGCTAAAGAATTTGGGCGAACTTGGTTCGCTGAAATTTCAGTCACAGCCGAGAGGATGTGTTTTTCTTTCATGGATGAATTAATTTCTTGAATCAAACCCTGTTCGTTTTTTCGCTGAAGTTTTTTCTCTCTATTCCTTTGCCTAATCCTGTCACTAATCATTTTCTTATCCACCTCGTTCAAAAAAGCATCTGTCTCTTTTTCCTCCGATGATTTAGCCGAAGGTGCTAAAGTATGATCACTCACATCCTCCTTCTCATATACATTCGATACCAAATTAATAGTATTCGAGGAAACAGAGCTTTGAGGCTCTATCTCATCTATAGTATTCTGATCATATCCTGAAATCATTTCTTTAGAAGTAACCTCTGATTGACGGGAAGTTAACTGTTTGCTTTCTTCGTTATTGTCTCTTAGTTTCACTACTTCAGCCTTAATCTCAGCAATTTCAACATCACGCCTAACATTCTCAGCTGAAGAATCTTCCTTGTTTTTCTCCAACTCCTCGATTCTGGCCCTGAGTTTGGCATTTTCAGCATCACGCCTCTCGTTATATTCCTTATTTGCTCTTAGAAACTCGTTATTCCTGCGCTTAAGTTCAGCTATTTCAGCATCAGACACCGAGAGCTTTCTTCTAAGATTTACGTTCTCAGCCTCAAGTTCAGTGATACGCTGTTTCGATAACTCAAGCTCGGATGTCATGGTCTATATATAACTAATACACTGCATATAAGCATTCAAAATAAAAAAATATATCATGTGATTTTGGGCGAACCGAGTTCGCTGAAATTTGCCAAGAAAAATTTTTTATTAATACATGCGAAAAAAAATAAATACAAAGTTCGGGACGTAGTCCGTGATACAACTGATACATGACGTCTATGCTAATGTCTAATCCTACAGTCTAACTAACCACCTTACATTTACGTGACTTGGAAATTCGCCCCTCCTTCTTTACGAAATGTCTGTAAAATACATGATTATTAATTATAAGAAACTAGGATTACAGGAAATCACAATACAGTAATTTGCGAAATAGTTAGATTCTTACACAATATATCCATCTAGCAATTGAGATAATTTGAGCTGTTCTTCCTCGAAAAGCTTTCTCTTCTTTTTTGTATCTTCCCGGCTTGCCATCCCGAAGTCGATCAGGTAGATGTCGCCGTTGTCATTAATTAAGATGTTTTCTTCCCGAATGTCATTGTGGAGGATGCCATGTTTATGGATTGCTTCTAATCCCTTAATAGCCCTTGACTTTTGCCGTTTCTTTATTTTTTGTTCGCTCAACGAAGTGCCGACAATGGTCATGCCGATAACGAAGCTCATTCCCCCTCCATAATATCCATAACACACTAACTTTGGGATATACTTGCCTTGAATATCTGTGAGGTCTTTGTAAATCTCTACTTCTTTTTGCATTTCTTCTAGAACATATGGTGGGGCTTTCGACAAGTCTACGCTCTTCAAAGCAATCGCATTGCCACGAAACTCACATAGAAGTGTTTTTCCACTTCGTCCTTCACCTAGTATTCCCTTAAACTTAAAGTCCGTGAAGCTATAATTTTTCTGGTCTACAGGAGTGCTAGAAGATAATTGTTGATTGCTGGAAGTTGGTTGTTGACTTATCGAAGAACTGGAAGGTGATTTCATGTGTGACCGAAGAACACGCGAATTATTGTCCCCGTGAACTGGTACTAGTACTTGAGGATGAGGAGACTTGGTATTCTCTTTTGCCTGTCGAGTTAAATAAGCATATGCCTTGAGAACTGGTGGAGACTCCGACTGCAGTGGAAGGGTTTTTGAGATCCAAAGCTCCGTATGCTCTCGGCGTAGAAACCAGTGATTGTCATAAGTGGCGAGAATACCATATCTAAGTTCGTTTTCTCCCATATAATTCCAGATTTGTTGAATTACATCCTTGGCTAAATTACTCGTCTGATAAAACTCGGGAAATGTCTGTTCACCCATATCTTCTAAAACATGCTTTCTTTTCGCCTCAATCACCAAGATCAATGAATCCACAAGATAGTGACAAGTGAAATCAGGTTCGCCGGTAGCTTCAGTTTGTCGCATCGAATAGTCGTAATCTGGTCCTGTTAGTTTATTCAATATCATACAAATATTGACGTTTATTGCATTACGAACAACCTCTTCCTTGACCACAACAAACCCATCATTAAATTTCGGCCTCTCGAATCTCGGTTGTTGATCGAAGAGGAATTGATTCACTTCCTCGAAAAAGTCTCCCCAAAGCTTTACGCTTGTTGGTGGGATACCACTGACCTTTGTAGTGGACTTTGATAGAGTGCATTTCGGTGAATATGTTATCGGTGGCGGAATACACGACAACGCCTCTTCCAAGCTGAGAACTGGAAACGAATACGTGTTAATATTACGAGGGCATATGACGAAAATTACAGACCTTACCAGACCTCCAGACACTTACGTGGCAACTTTACAATAACATGAATATTCCTCTTAGGCGGTTTCTCAGTCCAGTAGTCTCCAATTTCTCTTGTTGCAAGGAGCTCGGGTTCGTCATTGAGAATGAGATTGCTTAAGAGATCGTCCTGATCGTCAGGAATTTCCTTTTTCCATAGTTTCAAGTCTTTCGCCTTAAAATTAGCTGGAACATCTATTTTTTCTTTTATAGCGTCCTTGAGGTCACCAACAAACTGTCCCTTATCAATATGAACAGGAAAAGCGTTCGCAGTTGTATTTCCTTTAACAAGACAGAATAAAGTGATAGACATGTTCTCGGCTTATATAGTATTTTTTGCGAAATGTTATTGGCTCAAAGTGCGGTATGTGAGGACAAGAGTAAAAAGAATTTTATTTGCGAAAAAGCCTAGTATATGTGAGAAATTATTCTGTTTCACAAGCCTGCCGTGTGATCGGCCACATTGCATCATAGGTGCAACAATCGCCTAATCACTGCGCCTCCCTAACCGTGAAGACTCTTCTCACTTATCACCTGACGTTTTTTATATAGGATTTATAGACCTGATATTTCATTACACGTGACCGTTTCTCGATAATATAATACTTTATTTATGAAATAAAATAGTTGCCGGAAGTCGGCTTACAATACATAAAAACTATTACATAGCATGATACGAATAAAAAATACTAATTATTCTTAGGTTTTATGAGAATGTGAATTTGATCCTGAACGAGAGGCTTATCGAAATACTTAGAGATCTCTTCTCCTGATTCCATGAGTTTATTTTCCTTAGGATCGTTCACGTATAGACCGAAATTGGAGGAGAGAGCTTCGTAACCTTGGTTTGCTAATAGACTTTTAACAGCAAATTCGAGAATAGCGACCTTATCTTCCTTGCAGGGTGAGATTATGTAAGTTATTTCATCCTCACCATCCTGGAGGCGACACTTAAGATTGACAATACTCTTGTGAGTCATTTTCGTTTCCTAAATATAAGAACCCATAGTGAGAAAACTTCGCTCCCATACATACATAACTTCTAGCATATACATACCTTATTTTACGTTATTTTCTCTGGGAAAGTTTTTTGAGGAATGTTGGCTGAACTTCCACATACCATTACACACTTTATATATTACTGTTGGGAAGGAAAAGTTAAGGAGGTATGGGGCGTTATTAATATTGTTGTATGATGCCCAGAGTTCCATAAAACACATGCAAGTGAAATTTTCATACCTTTTCACATGTAGATCTACCGGAGAGACATATAGTTGGTTTTACGCCTGGCGATCTCGAAAATTGTGAATCCCTCAGCCCTTCATAACATATGCTTTTAACGTTAATATTTACTTTTACGGTAGGTCCTGTGTTGCAACTAGACTTCCTTTCACATTTTTCTCATGATTGTTCGGGAAAAAATAAAGAATAAAGGTTAATATGTTTTTTCGACTATATATGCGAAAATTAATATGTCGCACAAGACCTGACTGATGATCCACTTATTTTTTGTCGCACAGGAGTGGCCCAGCAAATTCTTCCGAGCTGGTGATCACCTATCGGCCCGCTCCGGTTGATGATCAGTATTCCGGACACAAATTTGAATATATGCTAGCTAGAGGTAAACACAATCATGACAAGTAATACTAATAATAAATTTGTTCAAAGTGAAATACTTGAAAATCAACTATATGAAGTGCTTTTGTACAAGAAGATGGAAGTATTAACTATTCAGGAACTCATAGCCGAAAGAAAACGTAGTATGGCGATAGTCCCAAAGGGACCCCCATCTATTAATGACAATACAAACCAAACAGCATTGAATCAAACCAAGAAAGCGGAAACACTTGATTATTCACTTGATTATACAAGTAAACTATTGTTTGATTTAGTGGAGAAAATTATATCGATAGAGGAGGATCTTGATGAGACTGGTGGCCACCCAACCCTTAATACATTACATCGACATAGAAAAGATCTTATGGATGTATCATTAGGGGAATTTGCACTTAGAGAAAAATACCATTTGCTTTTATATCTGGAAGAGGATATAAGCATGATTCAAGCCTATCTTGGTATTGTCGGTTATACTAACGAAGAAACGATAAAAGAAGATGCTGAGAAAGATGTGAGAGCATATATTCAAAAGTTTAGACGTTCCAAGTGTGGTAATACAGAAATTCATCAATAGGGGGGTCTGAAATTCCGATTGATAATATGGAAGTGTTGTCTTATTGTTTCATCTAATCCAGCTAGCATTGAATCCATCGAAGCCACGAAATTCTCTACGTGGATATTTGAATTTAGCTTATCTATAGCTTCTTTGCTAATTTTATCACACCCCTCAAATTAAGGTATTTTAAATTATGACATGATTTAGCAATTTCTTCGATAGCTATATCGGTAATTTTATAAAAGCTAAGGTCGAGTTGTTGGAGTCTTGGGCAAGAACAAATAACATTACAAATTGATAGTTCACAAATATCTGTGCGATGAGAAATATTTAGATATTCTAATTTATGGCATGACCGGGCAATAGCAAATAGACCTTCACCAGTTATTATGCCCATATTAGAGGATACATACTCGTTCTTTTGCAAATTAAGATACTTCAAATTGGGGTATGATTCTGCTATTCGATTTAATGTTTTATCGCTAAATCCTGTGCTAAAATTAAAATCTAAATAAATTATGTTTGGGGACAAGCACATAATGCCTTTGATTTTTTTATCCCAAAGTTGGCGGTAGTGTGAAATTTCTAGATGAGTTAGATTTGAGCTATAGACTGGCTTTTGTCTTATACATACTATTTTCATAAATTTCTTCAATCGAGTGCAATCCTCTCTTTCACCTTTCTTTAGCTCGATGCGTTTCCATAGAGTAGGAACACCGCATCTGTACCACAATCGAGAAACAAATAGGGCGGAATAAAGGGATTTATCTATCGCTAAGAAATGTAAAATCTGTTCCAATAGTTCTGGTATAATAAAAATGCTTGAATGCGCCATAAATAGTCTGTATTATATGCTGTATCTTTAATCGAAAAAAATGTGATTCTGCACCAATGATCACTGCTCTGGACTATTGGTTGGACCGGATTTGACTTCGATATGGGAGGATCACAAAATTATCGTCTATTGTTAGTGTCGAATTACACATATTTAAGCGTACCCTATTTTCTCGCATCCATGGTGAGCCCAAAAGTATTTCAGGAAATTGATCAGGCCAATCTGGTCCAGTAACTATAAATTCAGTGGGTATTATTTTATGCTTCTCACCATCATTTAAGATAATACATAGATTAACCTTTCCTAATGTGGAATAAGACTCATCTGGAAACCCGTATACTCTAGGAATACTATTGTCTTTTGCGTATGCTATTTTCACAATTTTTTCACTAATGAAATTTGCATTGGCGCATATGTCAATCCTAAATCGAAAATCTGTGAGAATTACCCTTTTGGGCCGTTCAAGATTCACCTCTCTTTCCCATATATCATTTATACCGCTAGCATGTTTTAGATCTGGAAGATACTTTAAAATAAATGATATCAACTCTGGTGGAAGAAGCTCAAGTAAATTATTTGTATGCATTTTTATATGCTAGAAGAATTTTCAATCGGAAAATATGGTTAGTTATAGCGCGAAGTGATAACTAGTTAAATCAGACTTTTTGGATCAGATATCTTCTTGGCTTCACCTTATTGTCAGATTTTCTCTTCGCGCATATTATTTTGCCTGGATCCACCTTCTTTTCTGGTGGTGCATGATCAGAATTGAATTCCTCAGATGAACTGGACTCGGACGAAGTGTTTATGGATTCTTTATTACAATTGCAATGTTCCATAGTAAATAGTTCGTCTACATTATCATCCAGCCACTTTACACGTTCTTCTAGTGGTTTAACTCTCTTTTTAAGCTTTCTATGCTGAGAACAATAATGATCCAACCTTTTTGTTAGTGCTTTTATTTCTCCAGAAAGCGTACTATATACTTCTGCATTCTGCTCGTTTAGTCCAAATGCCTGGGCTAATATCTTCGTATATCTAATAACTTCCTGCTCGCTAGATGTATCGAATGAATGCTTTTGATTGGTTACCATTTTCGTGATATTTTATTTATGCTAGATCTTAGGCGAACAAAAAAATAAAATCAATAGATGATATCAGACTGATTTATCAGTCCTTCTGACCCGTTCCCACTAAGATCCCCTCTAACCCATATATGTAATTAGTTTTCATCGAAGAGCATGAATGGGTTTGCTTGATCATAAGGCATTCCACGAGGTCTGTAATTTACTATAGTATACCTCTGCGATGGCACAGTGTTATTTTTAGGACTATGTCGAAGTACTTGACTAGCAATAGTATTAGCTTTCGATAGATTCCTAACCCCACTCGCTACAACCGCAAATATAGCTCCTAAATTACGTAAGGAACTAGGAAGTAATGGCTTACCAGTTTCGGGAAGAAATTCAGCTTTTTTCAGAAACCTACTCAAGATTCCAGTTCCAGGTGTCCCCGGGTCTCCTAACCGTCTGGAAGATATTGCTTCCTGAATCCATGTAAGCAATTGCTTTGCCCATTCCTCGTTCTTTTCAAGTGATCTAAACACTCGAGGAATATCCTGTTGATCTCGGTTTTTTACATATCCTGTTACACCTCCATTAGATATACGCAAATCTTTAATTTCAGCTGGACGGATACATAGCATAATCATTACATCAGCTAGGGCCTGTTTGTCGGGTGTATTAGATACATCATACGAATCCAATCTCTCCTTAACCGATTCTAACGAGAAGTTGTCCGGATAATGAATTCCTTCATCTTCGCATAATAAACTCTTCTCCTTTTGGATTTTATTTGATAAAGTGGTTATCCCTGGAATCTTCGTAGCTTCGATTATTGCCTTTGGGGCATTAAGCTTCCGCAATTCCTTTCGGAGCCTACTGAGACTAGATGTGCAGGCAACCGGATTAGGGGATGTCTCGGCTAATGCTTTAGCTATAAGTTTTACTTCTTTTTCACCAAGGCTATCCCGCATAATACGCTGAGCCGTTTCTCTAATGATTTCTCCTTCTGGGATAATATCTGATACTTGGCAGGCGCTTTTAGCACAACATATATTCACTTCCGCTTCTGCTCCTCCTTCTTTGGGGGTTACTTGACTTTTAGTTCGACCAGTTCTTTGAGAAGGTATCAACGCAAATGCTTGTTCTTTACTAAAGTTATATCCTTTTTGAAGACGATCGCGAGCCTGACGCCTTTTCTCTCTATCAGCTGGTAAGAGCTCAAGTATTTCTGGCGCATATCGGCTAAGCTCTTCGAGACTCATTTCATTGGTGAGTTCGTAGTCTGTAACGAACTTGGTTGTAATAGCAGACATGTTGTGGTAAGTAGACTATGGTGGTAGTTAGATTAATCTGTGGTATTCAGATTATATATTGTGGGATAAAGTTCAATTCGAAAAAAATATTCTGATAATGTTCGCTACCTCATGGTCGGTGAAAGCTATCGGAGGATTGGAGGAAGGGAAAGAATGATATAACTTCTGTCTTTCACCCTGAGTGCCTTCGGCTGAGACCAGCCACTCCGGCCGTGAGGACTGATTAATCAGTCTGATATGTTTTGCACACATTTGAAAATTGCGGGTAGATAGGATATGCGAAAAAAAAATAATAATAATTTGGAATTATATATTGCCTATGTGTAAAGAACGAAAGTCCCATCCTTACTAATATTTCATAACCCACTCCTATTCGCTCTTTACCAAAGCATACCATTCTCCGCGCTTGCGCTAAGTATGCTTATATTTTTTGTCATTTCTTGTCGATATCAAACTTACCATAGGTGACCGTTCTCTTGAAGTATGCTAATACCCTTTTGCCACTCCTTATCGTCATAAACATATGTCCGGGGCCTACCTGCATTCTCGAAGTTGCGGAGATATATTTCTTCACTTATTAGCCTTTCTCTCCTAGACATATAAAATATATCGTTTACATTCATACCGTCTTCTTCCGCAAAATCGACGGCATCTGCGTCCGACATCATCCTGTCTCGATATTCATGGGATAGTCTGATATCTTTTTCTGTGATGGTCACGAATACGTCCGGGTCTTCACCATGATCGATAGCCCATTTCCTGAGGCATTGTTCTCGTTGGACCCTGTTCAGAAGAATGGCAGATGATACTTCGTTACTAGATTTAATAGGCTTGGGTGGCTTACTATTCTCTGGTTCATCGATTACTGGTTCAGGTCTTTTAGAAGTCTCGGGTGTACCAGATGTTGAGGCGACCAGAGCACGTGTATCTTCTGCCCCATAGTCGAAAAGTGCCTGAGTCGAATCATCCTGTTTATTCGCTTTCTTATCTTTTTTAGTACTAGGTGGAGGGGTACTCATTTTTGTCTGAGGTGGGGTTATTTTTGGAGGAATAACTGGTCCCTCTAGGACCGTTTCTGGCACATTGAATATGGGTATGTCTGTAGTCTCGTTTGTAGGTAAGTCAGGTTGAGGTATATCGGAAAATTCTTCCATATCGCCTAGGCCAGATTCACGGAGCTTGGCTACGATCTTGGAGCGATCGAGAATATATTGCCATTCCCTTTTTCTACCACTTCCCCTCTTACGTTCGATATTAATCTGTGAGAATTTTTTACCAAGAATGTTGTTAGAAAATGGCTTTTCACCATTCCCTCCGCACCATTCAACATAGTTCTGATATAATGATGTACAACTTGGCTTGGCTACTTGATCCTCACTCCATGAGGAAATATGATCAATTATAAATCGAATAGGATTTGGTAGTTGCTCTCGCATTATATCTGATTTCATTTTAGTTGCAGGAATTTCTTCAGGTTCAAAATCTGAGAGATCACAACTAAGAAGATATCTCATGACTACTCCTGGTGCATCAGGGTGGTCAAGAACTTTTCCTAGTCTCTTAAAATATGCTGTATTTCCTCTACATTGTGGAGACACATCAAAACAGACTACACGAGAATCCCCTATATCTATTTTGAGCGGAGCATCCTGGTTGCTTGTAACCATCCATCCGGTAAAATCTTTTAATCGCTTAGTTTCAATACCCTTACGCTCTATAGACACCATTCCTTCTGTTATAAGAGATTTGAGATGTCCATTGAATCTATGCCATTCCGCACTAGACATTCCGGTTTCATTCATAACAATAAGCTTTCAAGCTTGAAGGGGACTATTGAAGCGCCCGAGAATTTTTTCCAAATCCGATGTAGCATAATGGAGATGTTCCCCTAAGACTTTGTCACCAATAAAGTCGGTGATAATATTTTTTCCACATTGCTGTAGTGTGGACTTTAGGACTAAGATTGAGCGAGGCTTCTTTTCTGGCTTCTGCACTAAATACGCCCACCAGTTCCAGATATATTCGTTAAGTCTTTCATCTCCACTACAGATTATGTTCTTTACATGCCAGAGAATCGGATCCATAATTTCTTTGTTATTTTCTATCGCTGGCTTAGCCAAGAATCCGAGAAATAGATTAAAGAACTTTGTATTGGGAACTGGACTATTTAGCGGATACGGTAGAAAATTAATATTACGGTAAAGAATTAGACCTTTGGTAACCGCCTGATCTATTAAATTAATTAACTTCACCCCCTCCCCACCTAGCTCAATCAAGTTAACTTCATACTTGGCAAGATCTAGTTTTGGTGCCATATCAAAATAAAGACCACCATTCGTATCCTCTGTCTTGAGCACCCATAATCTTGATGTTGTTTGAATACAGGCGACTGTTGCCTGAATTGCGTCTTAAATCTCATTACGAGAAAATTTTCGCCCAGAGGTACTCATATCAATTAAATCCTCCCATACGAAGTGATCGTTAGGATCTGATATTCTGGAACGGTCTTGTTTTGTAGGGCTCGGAAGCTTCTTTTCTCGATCCAAGGCAGTTTCATTAATAGTAAGTTTTTTCGAAGGATTTCGCGTTCCAGGTTCTCTTTCATGGTTTTCACGATGACAATAAAATCTATATGTTTTTTTATTTCGTAGGATATATGCATTATCACTTTCATGTTCCCGATCACATATTGGACAGTGCGATGGGGAGTTGCGTACTAATGGAAATAAGTCAGGGATGTTATCTGAAGGAAATGAGAGAGTATAACCTTCGATAGAATTATCTCTAAGTAATGTTTCTATGAAATCGAATTCAGCCTGTTCATTTTCGATATTGGCATCAGTATTTTCATTTCCTTTGATCGGGCATCTCTTAACTTCTGGCTCTGAAACAGTCAAAAGAGGACTATCAATGATTCTGGAATCATCATTGGGCGGACGAATCATGAAGTCAAAGATAGTTCCATCTTTTGGATGAATAGCTCTTTTTACACGAACATGTTCCTCTGTTTTTTTATCGTATTTGGGTGATCCAAGCATCCGCAAGGAGAAAGATTTAAAAGAACCTATATTTGCTATATTATCAATTATCCCTTTTTTCTGCAATCCCGCTGGAAGTTTTTTACGAACAAGTTCAGTGAAAACTGAAACCTGAGCAATATTTTTAAGCCTCATGCCGAAAGTCGAGATGTGGTATGACATTTTTTGGGCATTACTGCTAGTAGCGATGGATATAGTTTTAGGATCCCACTTCGGGAATATCTCCAAACATGTTTTTCTAAAAGCAAGAATAAGTGAACCTTGCACCTCTTTTCGTGTGAGTCTAGGTTTGATAGTATCAAGTATCTCTTGTAGTAAATCAAAATCTATAATAGGACGAAGTGGCTCATCTCCATCAATGATTTCATGTAATGAATGGCCTTCACGATCTGAGAGAATGGTTTCTATTCCATCCTCGTTATCAGTTCCGAGAATTTCTCTTGGCCTAACGCTATCATCCCTGACTTTATAAGAGTATTCGCCTACATCGGAGGCTTTAAACCCACAATAGTACGGGGCGGGGGCGTCGGAGGAGAGGAACTCTGAAAGCTCGGATTGGGTCATTTTTTCTCAAGCAATTTAAGATAATTTATAGCTATACCAAATCTCAAGGTATATTATTCGCAAGAAAAAAGTTTAAAATGAAATTAATTATCTGAGATTATTAATCGATATATACAAATGGGAGGCGGAAAAAAGGTGAGACCCTGGAATTTTTATTATTGTCCATATATTCTTAGGACTGGCGAAGTGTGTAATCGGAGATGCTATGATCCAAAGGGATGTAAAGTCCATCGGGATTCTAGGCAAGTTTCTTGCAAAGAACCCGGGTGTGAAGAGAATACAAGATCCAAATATGACTATTGCGATACGCATGCAAAAAAACATAGATCAAGGGAGCATTATCGTCAGAAAAGGCTTGCAAAAATCGAGAATAAATCCCAACAAACTGTTCTAAAAATTCAGTCCTAGTTTCCGTCCTAGTTTCTATCCTAGTTGTCAAAATTTTCTAGGACGGATGAAATATAGCTAGATGGTAATTTTAAGACGAATGAAAGGGAAAGAAATAGTCCATCCTAGTTGTCCTAGTTGTCCTGGTAAATTTCAGACGTCTTTACCTTTTTTTTTTATATTTTTTTACCTATAGTCATATCAGTATATAGCATACATATAGCATACATATATTATACATATAGCATAGGAAGAGTTACGATTTTTTTCTAGAATTTTGACAACTATATTTTTACTAGGAGAACTAGGACAACTAGGACATAATATAAAAGAACAAGTTAAATCAAAGAAAGAAACTCTTCTCCCATATCAAAACCCGTCCTAGTTCACGTCCTAGTTGTCCTAGTTGTCAAAATTTTTACTAGGACGGACCAGTCTTCTCACTTGATGGTAAATATGATAACAAATAGGGACACTAGGGACGCTCAAAAAAAATAGCATACACACTACCTCAGCTGAATTTAAACCATGATCGGGTCTCGGAAGTGCTTACAACATCCCACCAATATGCCGGCAATAGTTGGATTATGAGATGGTGCACTTCTGGCAATCAAATAGGCCGGCCATGATAATACATATTGCACCTCCAACTTCGGGACGCGAAATCGGCATACATATACCGGCAACTAATAAGCAATATTTAGATTGCGAAATAATGCACTTCTAGCAATCAAATGGGTCAGGCCAAGGGACATAATAACTCGGCATCCAAACTGGCATATGGAACTGGTGAACTAATAGGACTATACTAGTACCTCACCACTTCTATGACGCTACTATGGTGCCAAATTGGATCCTAAAATCATGGAGTCCAAAAATCGGCCAAAATTAAGCTCATTATAATGCTGGCCAAAATTAGTAATACTATATGGCAGAGGGTGTTCTGGCCCAGAACAGTATCACGTGACTATGGCGCAGTAAGGCGCAGTCAAAATTCGCTCCATAATTTCGGCCAATACTATTCCACAATTTCGGCCAGAACTTTGGACATAATAATTTGGCACCCAAGCTGGCATAAAACTGGCAAAATAATAGAACCTTTCTAGTTCCCTGCCAGTTCTACGACAGTTCCACGATAGTTCCATGACACCATCAGGTCACTACCATGGCGCCAGGTTGGATCCTCAAATTACATACCCAAAAGATTGGCCGGAATTATGACATAGTGTCCAGCCAAAATTAATCGCAGATCTAGATCAAATTACTGCGCCACCCGACACCTTTTTTTACACTATTTCGGTATCTAGAAAGGCAACCAAATAGGCGCAAAGGGTAAGTACTCCAATATAGAATTCAGCACCCAATCAGGCGCAGAAGGTCAATATCAACAATATATAACTTAAATTACAAATAGAGTAGAAACAGGAAGAAAAGAGAGGTATCTAGGTTAAAGTATGGGGTATTTAGATTATAACGTGGTAATAAAATCATACATAAGAAAAAAATACAGATATCAAGAAAGGTATAAAAATATAGCTAGAATGTGAATAGAGATAACATCAAAATAAAAGGGGTAGATTATAGTGTGGTAGCCAGATTATGTATTCAGATTAAAGCGTTGTAATTAGGTCGTAGTAATTAGATTATAGCATGATATTTAGGTTATAGTGTGATATTTAGATTTTAGTGTAGTATTTAGATTATAATGTGGTATTCGGATTATAGTGTGGTATCTAGATTATAACGTGGTATTCAGATTATAGTATGGTATTTAGATTATAGCGTGGTACTATAACCTAGTCCAAGTGGGATACCACACTATAATATAATTATATTATAGTGTGGTATCCCACTTGTACAATAAACAATAACATCAGATATAACCTCTCTATTGTGGCTTATTATTACATGAAAAAAATTTTTTCTCTATGAACAAAAAATATTTCTATCCAAAATAATAAAAATGAGTGAGAAATAAGATCTTTCAGATATAAAAGAACTTGATATTAATTATATTGAGTTAGATCCTGTAAGTAAAATATGTGAGGCTAAGTTTTTTAATTTAATAAATTAATTTTTTTTTGGATTTCTTAAAGGAATATCAAGTTGAAAGTGATAGTAATACTATTGAAAGTGATAAAGATACTGATATAAGTGATGAATAAGAAGATTCAATTGCAATATTTTCAATAAAGACACATGTACAAGAATTTCATTATGCCACTGTACCAATTGAATATCCAAAAACTTCAGAATATGGTGTTGCCACAGTATATAATATTACAGGTTTGAAGAATCCAAGAGACTGTTGGAAAAATGTAAGTAATTATCATTTATTAATCTGCAGCTTTATTAATTCTATTAAAATTATTAAATACAAATAAATTTTTCTCCAGATTCAATATTCCTTAGGTGGAGGTGGTCATAGTTCAATTAAGAACTGTCCATTCTTTGGTAATATTAGCATTAAAAAAGAAGAAAGAAACTGCATTTTAATCAATTATTTTCTTTATTTTTTAATATCATTAGAGAACATAAAGTTGATTAAAAAGCTTTAAAAACAATGGAAACTTAAAATAAATTTGGAGTTCCCTATTCAAGGCATGATAATGGAGAAATCAAAAAAATTTCTAAGGAAATTACACTTAAAGGTATTTTTGCATTTGATAAGCTTAATATATTAAAAAAAAGTTAAAAATTAATAATGGTATTATCATTAATAAATTTAGGTACAAGAAATGGTAAAAATAAGCGAATTTTGGTTGATTCAACCAATATTAAATCTGAAAGCTCACAACCAAAAAGAAAAGGACAATTTGCATCAACTAGAAATTCTAAACAATGCAAAATTACTGAAAATAATACTGAAAATATTGATTTTGATATAGAAGAGAAAAAAATAGCTCTTAAGGAGCGTGAACTTCAGATTTGTGTTCAAGAGGCTGCAGCCAGAAAGGCACTTGCTGAAGCTGAAGCAATGGAGCTAATTAATTTAGAAAAAAAGAAGTCATTAGGATTACTTTAAATAATAACATCAAATACAATTTGTATTAAAGTAATATAAATAAAGTTATAATTTTTTAAAATCTAAATTTTAGTAGTATAGAATAATAATAATAAATGAATCATACATACTATGATTTTTTTTTTATATAGTAATCTAAGTATGTATGTATAAATATGAATCATACATACTACTTTAAAATCATACATACATAGATCATTTTAACCATACTATACAAAAATTCTCAATTATACTACATAACTTTCTGAAATACCGTCTTACACCTACAAACAAAAATTCATTCATGCTACCTATATGACTATCCCTGTAGAGAGAAGAACTAGAATCTATTTTTTACTAGTTTACCTTTGAAATCACATTTGAAACAATGTAATAAATCATTCTGGATTTTTAAACATACATAAGTCTTACTTAGATCTTGTAATATGATCCATAGTTCTTAATTCATCTAAAATTTGAATTAATTTATTTTTAAACAGAAAAAATCAAGTAATAACAAAGTACAGATCTGGACAATATAAATATTAGAATTGATCAAAGTGAAATTATTTCTCCCATCCTATGTATGGTATATATATTGTGGCCATTATTAACAAATAATTTGGGGTATAATATTACAGAAAAATATAAAAAATATTACAGATTTATTTATATATTAAATGACATACAAGTAAATAATACAGTATAATTATGGAGACTCAAAAAAAGGAAAACAAATAATTGCAGTCTGGAATATAGTAATAATTCTAAGGATAGAGTATCAATTAGCAGTGATTGTACTTAGTAAACAAGAATGCACAAAAATGATGATGAGAATTAGTGCTATTATTAAAAAAAAGAGAAGGTTTAGCAAAAACAGTGCACTTTATGAAAGAAGTTAAAACAATTTATGATCATTAATTAGTAATGTTGTGTAAAAATATATCATACCAAGTGAATGGGAATGAGAAATTAAAGAAAATTTTTGCAATTAAAATGGCACAAGAGCAAAAAATTATTTGGACTGCAAAATGTTTAGAAGAATATAATTATAATATAGGAAAAGATAAAAATAATTGGATAAAGATGGCCAATAAAAATTTTAAATGAAGAAGATATTTACCTGTGCAATCATGAAATAAGAGATAAAATACAAATCACATTATAAAAGGAGGGAGAACAGAGATTATAGATCTGATTAATGAAAGAGAAGAAGAGCACATTCTTGAAAAGAGAATAATGTTTTATATTTAGAAGACCTTTTAGAAGCCAATGGGCTAACATTGATGAAATGGAAACATTTATGCAAAGAAAAGGGAAAGTATAAAAAAGAGAATACTGAAGTGGTTTAAACAAATTGAACAAGAAGTAATTCAAATATAAGGAAAATTAAAAATAAATATTTTGACAATATAATGAAAAGAATGATTCATATGAATTATTTTGATGAAAATATAAAACAAAAGAAAATGAAATAATAACTTAGAATAATAGCACAGGTTTGCCAGTTTTTGGACAGGATAAAAAACAATCAAAAAGTAAAAATTTTAAAAGAATAGGTGTACATTAATTACATTTGGGTGGTAAAAGAAGAAGAAATAGATAGGAATACTTCACCATATTTGATCAAATGCAAAGGTTGTGAAAGGAATATAAGTAAGAAAAAAGATAATAATGAATGTTTAATATATTTAGAAGGAGAGAACAGTAGAATGATCAAAAAAAGGAATGAAAAAGGGTATAAATAAACCTTATGAGACATTAAATAACATCAAAGTTAAAATAATTGGATTAGAAATTACAATGAAGAAGTAGATAAAGACAATATATTTAATGAAAAGATTGAAATCATAGATACTTTGATTAAAACGGAAGAAAAAGAATTCATTGAACTATTGAAAATGTGATATAAATTTGATAGACAGAGGAAAAAAGTGTTTTTGGCCATAGATACTATAAAGATCAAAAATAAATTAGACAAAGAAAAGAAAAGAAGACATGTATATAAAGTTATATGAATCTGAAGGTTATGTAAATTTATGGAGTATTTTGCAGGTGTAAATTTTCGTAATAATATGCCATATTAAATTTGCTGATGTATATTGTTGGCTAATTATAATCAAATGATACTAGGGATTTGTTTTATTTTTATATTTGATTTAAAAATTTAATAAAATATTATTATTTAAAACCAAATTCATATAAATACAACTAATATTAATAATTGTAATTTTAATACATTGACCAGATTATAAATTTTATGCTCAAATTATGTAAGTTAGAGGTCTGCAAACGGGACCCAGAACCCGGAAACCCTAACCCGGCCCGGACCCAGATCCAGGTTTGGGCCGGCAAATTTTCTTCAAAATTCACCCGGGCCGGGTCCGGGCCAGCACATAAAGTTTCGTCAAACCCAGATTTTCGTAATTCTGGCCAAAATCGTCTTAATTCCGGCCGAAATTAAACTGACCAAAATTAAGTTGGCCAATTTTTTTGTTTTTACAACAAAATAATATAATAAAAGTCCGGGTCCGGTCCGGGCCGGGTTTTTGATATTTTAAGTCCGGGCCGGGCCGGGCTGGGCACTTTATGTTGATTTCCAAGTGCGGGCCGGGCTGGGTTGTAAAATAGTGGTCAATGCAGACCTCTAATGTAAGTTCTATTATCAAATTAACATAAATTCAGTGTAAATTATAGTCAAATCATGCAAGTGATGCATTTTATAATATGGAATTATTGTGCATTTTCCCATATTCCTATATAGATTAAATACATTATTTTTAAGAAAAAATTGTGCAAAACCTTATTAAAAACATGATTTTTATAGAGACTAATTATAATAAAATTTTATTATTCAGTAATAAAGCTAACAGCTATGTTTAATGTTTACTTGAATAAATAATAAAATAATATTCAATTATTGTTTATCTATTGATCTTTATAAAAAAATGTACCATAATTATTTTATTATTTTTATTTTATACAATTATTAAAACAATGAAAAAAATTTGTAAATATTTTTCATTTGACGAATTACTGTATTAGCTAATCAACAAAATCCCAAAACAATTACTAATAATTTTTTTAAAATTTAACTTTTAGACAATCAAACAATTTTATTATTTTATATAATAATAAATACAAAGTATAATTCTACATAAATATTTTGCATGTTAAAAAATTTCCCAAAAAATTCCCCATAAAATTTAGATATTTTCACATATAATAAAATAAAATTTCCCAACTATTTCAATAAACAAAACTTATATAAGGGTTACTAAAAAAACATTTGTATTATTTTTTTATCTATAAAAAAAATACCAGTTTAACTTTCCATAATCCTATATATTTTAATTATAAAGAATCTACTGCACTAAATTTCTTTATTGGTTCTGCAACTGGCATAACAAGATTAAATGAAAATGAATTAATACAAACATGTAACAATTGTAACATGACTATTTTTTATCCAATTGATCCTTCAACAATATGTTATATCCCATAACTAACAAATGGCCAAGTCTATCAGTAAATAATTGTAAATTTTCATTGGGAAATATTAATGAAATTGATGTAAAATATTTATTTTATTTTTTTTAATCTATTTTTTATTTTTCACGTTTATTTTATTTATTTCATTTTTATTTTAATTTTCTTTCATTTTCACTTTTAATTTTATTATCATTATATTATATTTTAATTAGACAAATAACAATTACACATTAAATTATTGACATTACTGACAAGGTGTCTGGGACGCTCGGACGGAGTCCTGCATTTTCTCGATATACTTACTCCATGTGATTACCTATCATATGAAAATCATTTTATTCGTCAAATTTATTACCCAAAGTTCAATCACTGTCATACAAAAATCAAGTAATAAAGTCAAAAAATGATATTCATTGACTCACTCTTTGTATAAATTTCTTTTTATTTTTTAAAAAAAAACCTTTCATAAAAAATGTCTCAAAAATTTGTTCAAGAAGTTGTTAACGATTTGGAAAAATTGCTTACAACTGAAAAGGGATATGACGTTATTATCTATGCTGGTGAAAATGAAAATATAAGAGAATTACATGCTCATTCAGATATTTTATGTACAAGGTCACAATATTTTAGTACTGCATTCTCTAATGAATTGGCAGAAAAAAAGGATGGAAAATTTATTTTTAAGAAACCTAACCTTTCACCTCAATTATTTAAAATTATTCTAAGGTAATGTAAGATAGTGATAAATTCTTTAAAAATTTAAGCGTCGTAAAAAATATTTAATACGTATATTTTTAATTATTTAGATTTATTTATTGTGGAAAAATTGATTTGAAGGAGTTACAAGGTCCTGAAGTGTTAAAACTTTTGATTGTGGTAGATGAGTTTAATATTCAATCTTTAATCTCTTATATTCAAAACTATTTGATCAAAAATCAAGATGAATTTTTACAGCAGGATCCTAAAGGAATTCTTGAAGCAGTTTATCAACATGAATCATTTACAGATTTATTGAATTATTGTCTTGAAAAAATTTGTCAAGAACCCAAAATATTGTTTGAATCTGATAAATTTACTAGTTTAAAAGCACCCTTATTAAAATTACTTTTAGAGAAGGATTATTTAGATTTGGATGAAATTTTCATTTGGTAAAGTTTATTAAAATGGGGTCTTGCCCAAAATCCTTCTATTTCAAAAGATATCACAAAATGGAACAAGGAGGATATTACAATTATAGAGATAACTCTTCATGGATTAATTCCATTAGTAAGATTTTATCATATCTCTTCAGATGATTTTCTTGATAAAATATATCCTTTAAAAAAATTATTACCAAAAGATTTAACTAAAGATCTGGTGGAATTTTATATTGCACCGAATAGGAAACCAAATATTGTCGAAATTCAGTCTTCTAGAATACCAAAACATATTTGTGATTATGATTCAATTTTAATTAATAATCATCATTTTGCTGTTTTTGCTAGTTGGATTGATAAGAAAAATAATTTTCATTATTATGTGAATATTCCTTATAATTTTAATTTACTTTATCGTGCTAGTAGAGATGGTAATACACCCGCAGCATTTCATGCTAAATGTGATAACAAGGGGCCCACCATAGTCATAGTAAAAATCTCAAATTCAAAAAAAATAGTTGGAGGGTATAATCCACTTAAATGGAATTCAAGTAATAAAGTTGAATCTACAAAAGATAGTTATATATACTTATTTACTGATGGGACAGATACAAAAAGTGCAAAAGTAAGTTACAGTAATGGGGATCAAAATTCTATAAGAAATTTAGCTGCATATGGACCGGGATTTGGTGGAGGTACAGACTTATTATGTTGGTCAAACGGAAGCTGGTTACGTAATTCAGCGTTGTCTTATCCTAAAATTGATTGTATTCCAGAAAAATTCTTCAATGTAGATGATTACGAAGTTTATCAAGTTATTAAGAAATAATGAATTCATATTTACGTAATGTAGGTTAATAGAATTCTTTTAAATATATTGATTCATTTGGATATTAAATAACTCATTATACTTCAAATAAAATAAATACTTGCTATCTTTTAGTTTTAAAAAATATATTAACGATAATAGCTCTGTTAATTTCAATGCTAGAAAGATACCGCCAATAGAATTGTCTTGTCATGACGAATCGAATGGTGGTAAATTCATTCAAATCCAATCACTAGATCATGCTCCGGCACCAAAATTCGTTAAATGTTTATAGTAATTTTACTCCATCAATATCAGTGCTATAGAAATTTAACACATATTATTAGATTCGTCTCGATGAGACAAATCGAATGATAGTAAGAGCATCGAAATCTGATCACTAGATCCCAAAATATTTGCAATTTCGCACTATTATGCAAATTTCGGAATTTTGGAATACGTAATTAATTTTGTAATTATGTAATTAATTATGATTTCATAATTTTGGATTTTGAATTTGCCAATTGAATTTTGGAAACAACTATAATTAGGATTTGAAGTTTCATAATAAAAATAAATAAGTATATTAAAATGCTTTGTAATGAAGCAGATTATTATGGTAAAGAAAATTAATTTATTATATAAAATTTCTAATGTTATTTTTTCAAGGTTAATTTGTGTCTAATTTTGATGATTAGCCACATATCGAACCATACAATTGATGCTAAAAATGTAGATCAATATAACTGCAGAATTATAGGATAATCCAAATCATATTGACAAAGTTTGTATTTGAATATAATTTATTTTAAAAAATTGCAGGCAAATTTGCCTGCATTACTGTTTAAGGAATAATAAATTAACAACCTGAAATAAAATAGTTTAGTATGTAAAACTACAATTTGTATAAATATAATATTAAATTTGATTATCTTTCAAAATGAAAAAAAATTAATATTAACTACTAATAAAATTATTAATTTATAGAAATATCAAATAAAGGTAATAAAATATAATTTAAGTATATATTCTTAATTATTTTAATTATTTTGCTATTTCTTATAAGTAAATATGCCATATTAGTAATTATAAATTAATAGTTTATTGTAATTATAAAAGTAGAAAAAACTTTTGCATTTTGACATTATAAATTTAAAATATTAAAATCTAAATCAAGTTTATTAATTAATGAATAAATAAAGTTATAGTATTTTACATTATTTACTAATAGGTAGCAGACATTAGTACTATTACTGAAATGCAATAATAATATTATAAATTATATAATACTAGTTTTTTTAGATACAAAATAATTTGATTTTAATTAACTGATTAGAATAGAATTTTTTTCAAACCAGAAATCTTAATCTTCATTAAAATATCTAAAATATTATTAAAATAAAGGATTTATTTAGAAAAAATCCAAGAAATATTTACTTTACTTAAGATGTCTAGAATATCTGACTTTATATGCAAAAAATAAAAAAGTAAAAAAATTTGCAATACATTTTTACAATTTTTTTAAAGTAAATAATTTTATTGTTATTATTTAATAATTATTAAGTATAATTGTATTAATAGTACTATACTAGCTAGAATTAGTAATACTATTTTAATTACTTACATAACTGATTTAGAAAAAAATATTATAGTACTATTAAGGTTGCCTGTCTAAACCACTCCAAAATTCTATAATTAGTTTCTCTAAGATTTTACTTATAGTTTTGGCAAAGTTTTGGCAGTTTCGGCATTTATAATAAGTTTTGTCAGGTTTCACTTTTCTTTAGAGTTTTGCCAACTTTTTAATAAGACTTTCATATAGTTTTGGCAAAGTTTCGCTATTTCAGCATTTCGCCAACTTGCCAAAACCCCCTAGTTTCTCCAGCAACCTTAAGTACTATACTAGCTAGATTTATTCAATAATACTGTATTGATAAACTTATATAACTAATTTAATGAAGAAGATATAATTAATATTAATAGTAAAAATGCTGTTTGAAACTATTTTTTAATTTCCAAAATTGAAACTAAAACTGAAACTAAAATCAAAACTAAACTAAAACTTGCATGAAATTTTGAAACTATTTCAAACCTTCCAAAACTATTTTAAAACTCCTGAAACTAGTTTAAAACTTTCAAAATTAGTCCAAACCTCCCAAAATTAATCCAAAACTCTTAAACCTAATCTGAAATTCATGCAGATTTTAAAAAAAAGGCAATGAAAAATGGTAATAAGTATTAAAAGTATTAAATTCTATAGAATTTTATATAAAAATAATTTTTGATAAATGGTTTGCTTCTGATATTAGATTTTGTTTTTTATTGAATCTGTGATACATTACATTCTGAACACTCCGAATAAAATTATATAATGTCAGGTAAAATTAAAACATGTTAAAACATGTAAAATATAAAAAATAGATTTTTCACAACTGAAAAAATTCTAAGTCTCCAGAATATATATAAAAAATGAAAAGGAAAGGGTGTGATACAGATGACAAAAAAGGATGCAATGCATTACAGATGTAATAAATTATAAAATCCTTTAATATTCTTTAAAGTAAAATTATTTTAAATATTTTTAATTTAATTTTTCAAATTATTTGCAATTAGATACCAAAAATTATATAAATAATAAATCAAAATAACTGAATTTTTTTTTAGTAACCAATTTAAATTGACTTACTATATAAAATCTGGTTAAATTAGATTATTTTAACTTTAACCAATGGTATTTTTTAATAAGTTGTTAAATTTAATTTTGCCAATTTTATTAAATTATATTGAGGTTACAAATATAAAATAGAATTATTTTAAATAATAAAAAGGTAAAAATTATCTATTATAAAATAATTACTTAAATGACAGTTATATTATTGGGTAGATTCATGAAGTTGCAGATGGAAACACTATTATTACAAATGCAACATATAGTATAAAATATGAATTTTATGGAAATAATGGAAGTAATATAACAATCAACTAATAATAAAATTTAACAAATTGTTTTTTAGTACTTAAGGAATATAGTTATATTTCTTACTAATAAAAACTTGGCTCAAATTAATGTAAGTGTATAGCTAATATGCATTGTTATTAGACAGATGTTAGAATATCACCTAACTGTGAAGCAGGTTGGATGATGTTTTAACATCACCGTCCAATAATGATTGTTATTTTTGGCAATGAAACGCCATTTATTTAAAAAATGACGATTTCAAGACTTTTTAAAAATCATTCGTAATAATAGTAATTCTCACTATCATTTTGCATAAAAATTTTTAAAAGTTTTTAAATTATTTATTTAAATTAAACCGTGTCAAATTTTTTTTTAGAAAGTTTTTAAGTTACCAATAAAACACACTTCCTGAATTTGAATTCTTATCGTTGACAAGGAATCAGGAATCATATGCGCCGATTAAGTGACATGAAAACTACTATTATATGTACAAAATTTTAATATACAATTATGCAAATGAAAAATTCTGAATATTCATAGAATATTACTTTTCTCTAAGCAAATGATAATATTAATACCAATATTGCAAACTTTTATTATCTAAAAATCTAAGATGAGTGGAATACCATTTGCACATCTAAATAAGAAAGAATATTTAAAAATGAATTAAATTTAAATCCTTTTTTTGAAAAATATAAATGATAATAATATTTGCTTATAAAAACCTTTTTTGGAGCCTTTTCATGTAATTCGTCCAATAAATGCATACTTCTCAACCCGGATTTCCTACAAATAAAATCTATCGTAAATACAATTAAATAATTTTCCATAAAAAAAAAAAAAATTATTACTTAATATTACCATAACACATAAGCAATTAATTGATCTGAATCGTTATGTTGAATTGATTCAACATCATCGATTTCTTCATTCCAATCAATCAAAACACGAGGATCGGTATAAGCGACAGCATTAGGATATCTATTAATCAATTCGTATTTATCACTATCTTCTTCATTATCATTTTTAACTTCGTTATCATCGTTAATTTCATCTTCGCTATTATAAGAACGTTTTTTTGGTTGTGTTGATGGATGATCAATTGGTCTTTTTTTCCTTTTCCATTCTTCCCAATAAGTTGTTAACATCGTAACATCATTTCTAAAAAAAATTTCGCGATATTATTAAACCAATCAGGTTTGTAACACTTAAAACCAGTTAACTTACATAGTTTGCGCATTTTCCCAACTATTATCACTTTTCGAATCATCCCATTTAACCAAATAAAGTAATTTTTCCTAAAAGATAAAAAATACATATCAGATATGTATATTATTAAAGAAAAAAAGTGATTACAACTTACATCATCATATTTATGATCTAGTATCAATTCCGCACATTTTTTAACAGAAATCGCAGATCCTTTAGCAACTTCTTCCTCTTCAATTTCACTATCATCCACAATAAAATCTTTTAAGCTATTATCTTTGCCCACTCGTAATTTCTTTTGTATAGATTTATGTTTATATTTATTGACATGATTAGATTGTTTTGATGAAAAAATAGCTTTAGATGTAGATGATTCTGGAGAAGGATTAGGTAAAGGATTAGAATTAAGTCTTTGAGAAGCATATGAATGAATAGGATAAATATATATAGAATTAGGCGAAGATATAAGTTTAGGACAAGAATTTTGAGGAGGAGGACTATTAGCATGATCAGAATCTATGTCCATTGCAAGATCGATAATTTCCGTATTATTATCATATAATGACATGATTCCTAATATCGAAAATACAAGGAAGTTGCAAGCAAGAAGGAGTAAATGATACCACGATATCATTAAAGAATTTAATCATATTTATGGGATAAAGATAAAAAAAAAAACTAATGATGTATAAACTTTTAATAAACTTTTTTTATTAATTATAAATTCTTATTAAATGGACAAACTTATTAAATATATCAAATGAAGACACTAATGACTGACTCATCATGTTATTTAAAATAATAGTACACGTTAAGGCAGTAAAGTATTTAAATTGCTGTATATAATTTTATTTTTTTTTTTTATTTTTTTAAATTTTTTTTAGAAATTTGTAAAATACTACGCCACATCCAATTCAAGCTTAGAAGTTAGAATAACGCGATATCATTTAAATGTACACAAAATTATTAAATAAGCAAATTATTAATGGGAATCTTTTTTCCAATTGTTTTAACGAGTTATTATCTTTAATGGCGTTTTTGTTGTTCAATAAGAGAACAAAATTACGCCATTTTGTGTTATGTTACTGTAGTTTTTTGGTTAATCCACAAGAGAGTTCACTCTTTAGCTTCTAATACAGTTTCCTCGGCCTCTGCCCTTTCCCGTACCCTTACCCTTACCCTGCTTTTATCTGCCCCTTACCCTGCACTTCACAGTTTGAGTTTATGCTCTATGCGCACCATGAAGTTTAATAATAAAGATGTGGTACCCTAGATTAGATGTTATAACTTTATGTACGCATTGCATATTCCCACATTTATCTAACATAAATAACATAAAGATCATTAAAATAGTTCATATAAATCAGAAAAAGTGGGGTTTCAAATAAAAACGGTATAGAAAGAATCACTAGACTTTAAAGTTAATTTTTATTATAATTATAGGAAGATTTAATGCATGCAATGGTAAATCAAATTACGCCATAAACTATCGTGAAATCAACATATTTTATCACGAGGTACCTCAATTTGTTTTTTTAAAAAAAAAGTACAATGCTTATTTCGCATATACACTCTACTAATACAGTCATACATTATTTATTCACTCATATAATTATTCTAAAAAAAGGTATCATTCTTATGTCATGATTTCAAACTCATATTACGGAATCATATCATGATAATGTTTAATAGTCATTTTACATAATTCCCACTGAAAGTTCTAAATATAAAAAAAAATTAGATCTAAATTATTCTTACTGAAAAAAAAAATCAAATCCTCACAAGATAAATTACCTTTGCTTCTTTCAATAATTCAGAAACAATAGTTTTTCCTTTTTTCCACCAAGCCCGCTCTTCTTGTATAGTTTTTGTAATAGTAATACGATAATTTTCAATTTCAACAGAACTTCCACTTCCACCAGCATATTTTGCATGTTTTTTACAGACTTTTTTAATGGCCACTTTATTTAATGGAATAAAATTAGTTTTAACTAATTCTAAATTTTTTATAAGTACATGTAACTTTTGATTTAAATCATGAAACGTTGGTGCTGCGGATGGATGTTGTTGCTGTTGATCAGGGAGAAAAAATTGATGATCTCAATTATTAATTATCCAAAAAGCTGTTTATTTTTTCCACAGATATTTTATACTTACCAAACGATATGATTGTAAAATTAAACTTTGAAAATCAGTTCTAAGATCATCAAGTAATTCCAAGTAGAAAAGTTCAACTTTATCTACTTCATCCTTTAAGGTTTCAAAAAATGATTTTTCAGCTGCTGTTGTAATTAATGAATATTCTCGATATTGACTGTTTTATTATAGATATACATAACGCAAAAAAAGAGGGTCATAAAAAAAAAGTTAAAATAATTGGATATATTTTCGTATTTCTTTTTGTGTATCATAATTAACTAACCTGATAAGTGGACTTAAACGGGTTTTCAATTTTTTATAGTCAATATACTATTTATTTGCAACACAAGAGAATAAAAACCACTTTTATATATACATTTTTTTTTATATTTTGATTCTTAACTAAAGAAAAATATATTAATACTAATGAATAGATAGATACCTGTCGGGACCATTCTGAAACTTGATTATCTAATAAATATTTTCCAAATTTCATAGCTTATTTGTATATATATATATTTTTATATCATGTAAAAAGAAAAGGGGAGAAAAAAAAAATTAAAAATTTTTCCTGTGAAAAGAGGAAGTGCATTAACCGTAGGAATTCTGAAGAGTTATATATATAACATATTGAGACTTATTCGGATCAAAGTTTTCTATTGATAAAGAGCTATTTTGGATGATCAATGACATAATCTTTGTAAAAGCCATAAAAAAAAACTCCAACTAATGGCAAATTACATCAATGAATTTGTGATCATTTTTTTTTGAATATTAAAATGGAAAAGAATTCCGCCAATTAATCGCATGATCTCAATTATAAATAAATAAAATAAATACTAGAATTATTTGATAATTTATTTAAAAAAAAATTTCTCCAAAAACCAAAAAAAAAAAAAAAAAAAAAAATGTTAAGGCTGGACGAATCTCACTATGACTGGCAAGACAAAAGGTCATATATAGCCATAATTATATTTATAATAACATGGCTTCTATTAATAAAACGTTGGTCGGCTATAAAAGTTGGTCACAGTACTATCGCGATATTAGGTTGTAGTATAATGGTATTTTTCGATATAATTACTTCAGAAGAAACTTTTAGTAGTATTTGTGGGGAAACCCTATTATTGGTAGCTGCTTTCATGATAATCCATCTAAAATTAGAACAAAGTGGCCTTATCGAGTTTTTAAAACGCGCTTTACTTTATGGTAAACCAACTCCTTCATGGTTGTTGGCAAGAGTTTCTTTTCTTTCAGGTGTTTTAGCTGCCCTAATTATGGATAGCGGTGCTGCCACTCTCTTGAGCCCTCTTGTTTTTCAACTTTGCGAAGAGAATCGTCTTGAAATTGAACCTTTTATGATGGCCTTGGTAATTAAAATATCAGTTTCATAATACAATGTAGTATATTAATTTATATACCTTTTTTTTCAGGTGACATCTGCAAATATTGGTTCAATTGCTACAGGTAATTATGATTTCTTTTTTTAAATTTTTTAAAGTCTAATTTAATTTTTTAACTTTGATCCATAACTTTTGATCTTGATCACATCATAGTGATTGGAAATGTGAAAAATATGATTATGATTGAGTTCTTTCCTGAAATTTCATTTTTTGAATTCTTCATTCATATGACACCTCTCGCAATAATTGGACTTTTATTAAACACGATATTTCTCATATTTTATTATCGTAAAAGATTTATTGGACAAACCATTAAATCTTACAACCCACCAAAAGCCACAACTATCTCTTCAACATCAACAACAAATCAGAATCCTAGAAATTTAATTCCAACGTCATTACATGTAATTACAAATTCACGTACGATTGAAACCTCGTATGATACCGATGAAGACGCCATATTGACAGGAATGGTTAGTGATAGTGATGATAGAGACGAAAGCGATACGGAAAATAATGATGATGATTCACAATATAGTGAAGGAGAAAATTCAAGTCTTCTTGCGCGTAGAAAACGTTTACTTAATTCAAGACCACAAGTTAATGAATTTTCTTCTTCACCAGATCGGCTTCAATCTAAAAGAAATTATGCATTTGAACAAGTAGTTTATATGGATGATAATGATTATGATGATGATAATACAAGCCCTTGGGTAATTAGAAGAGATAATCCTAATTGTAGTCCAAGACAAAATCAACCAGCTTTAACAAGATTTGCCTGGGATGCGCCACATGAATCACGTGGTTTACAAGGACTTGGATCAAATATACAAAAACAAACCAAACAATTTATTAGTGGTACAAAAAATTTGTTTGGAAATGGAAATTTATTAAAAATATCTTTTATTATAATGATGTTTGGAATGTATATTGCAATGTTTTTTGGAAAAAGTTTGGGATGGACTGCTGTTACTTTAGCGTCATTATTTTTATTTTTTGATGGAAAAAATGCAACAAATGTTATTAATAAAATAAATTGGGGAATTATTGTTTACTTAATTGGAATCTTTGGAGTTATTAGAGGTCTTCATTCAACTCCATTACCTAGTTTTTTATGGGATAATTATGAAGGAGTGTTTATTGGAACTGATATGAAAACTTTAATATCAATTTTCGTGTTATCATCTATATCAATCTTATTGACCTTATCTTTGACTTCTATACCTGCAACTCTTTTATTAATATCTTATATATCAGGAAGAATGGATGAAAGATTTGCTGTATATTTATTAGTTTGGAATATTGTACTAGTTGGAAATTTATCAGCCCGTAAAAGTTCTGCTGGTCTTATTGTTACAGGTATATTTGTTATTATATAATTATGTCTATTAAAGTAATATTATTAATTTTTTAAAAAAAATCATTTCGTATTTATAGAAATCGCTAAAGATCATTTATTTGATACACCGTTAGTTCAACCTCACGAATTTAGCACATGGGTAAAATATTCCGTATGGTCAACTATTATCATTTCAATAATTGGCACTTTTATAATTTCATTTTTTCATTAAAATTATTTTTAATTTAAGAGGAAAATAATGAGATTTTTATGCGGAAAAAGGAAAATCATATATCATAATATATCCAATTTGACATTGAATATATATATATAAATATATATATATATAAATTATTATTATTTTATACATATTTTTTTTTTACTTAAAATGATAGAGCATTTCTTATTTGTAATGATAAAAAAATTAATTGAGTTGTTACGATTTTTATTAATAATAATATACTTTGATTGGACATTTGTATATAAAAAAAATATTTATATATATACATATATTTTAAAATGATTTATAGAACAAGAACATTACTTAATATAGACTAGAATAAATAAATAATTCAAATTGAATAAGTTAATCATCGATTGGGACATAACCAGGCATATTTTCAATTCTACGTAACCATGATTTAATTTTAGGAAAACTATCGATAGAATATCCAGCTAGAAAAAGAAAAAGAAAAATTAGAAAAAATTGATAAAATAAAATAAGAAAAATATATATATATATTTTTTTCTTTACCTTCTTCAGCACAATGAGTATAAGCATAAAGAGCAATATCAGCAATAGTAAATCTATTAGCCACTAACCAATCTTCTTTATTTAAATGATCTTCCATAACATTTAAAGCTTCATAACCTTTTATTTGGCGTTCATTAATTTTATCTAAATATTGAGGATCATCACCTTTATCTAATAAAGTTATCCAAAATCTTAAAGAAGAAAAATTTGGTTCATGAGAAAATTGTTCCCAAAATAACCATTGCATAATTTTCGCTCTTTCTATTGGATTTGATGGATATAATGGTGTACCATCCGAAAAGAATGTTAAAATCGCGTTCGATTCTGTTAAAATTATTGATTGTTGTTCATTCGTTGAATTATTATTAGAAGAAGATGATGATGTAGAATCTGTAGGAGTTTTTGAAGTCGTAGATGAATTCTCTACATTTGATAATTTGTGAACATAATCTGATGGAATTATTACTACTGGAACTCGACCATTTGGCGAAATATTTTTTAAAAAATGTTCAGTACGTGTTTCTCCTTTTTTTACATTTACATCAATTCGAATACATTGTATCCTCAATAATGAGAATAATAATCGAACCTAAAAAAGAGTGGTTTTTTTCAAAAAGAACATAAAGGAAAAAGGGAAAGCAATAAAAAAAAATACCTTGTAACAATTTCCCGAAGGTCCATAATCATATAAAGTTAACATTTTGACTAAGCAGTTAAAAAAATAAATAAATAAATAAATAGTAAAAATTGGATTTCACGAGAATAGAAACAATATTTCTCGAAAAATAGTCGAAAAATAGATGGGTGGCTTAGAATTTTTTTTTTTTTACTGGCGTAATGATCTACGATATTCAATCATTACTTCATGATGATATAATTTATTCCCAATTCCAGCGGTTTTGTCTAAAGCAAGAAATTTATTATTGTATATTTATATACATAAATTATTATTATTATAAAAAAAATTAAATAGAAAAATTATAAATAACGAAAATATAAACTAAGTTAAATAAAATCTAATTATATATATAACATACGAAATTATATTATTATGGTTTATAAATAGGAGGAGGTTCCATTTCAAGAACATCTTGATTAGAATCGTTTGGATAAAGTTCAGGATAAATAGGATCACTTCTATAGTGATTACGATTTTGATTATTTCTACTCGTAGAAGTCAAAGGTATTATAACGCTAGCAAATGATCTTCGATTTTGTCCGTCTACTTCTATTAATACATTCTCGATAGTTGTAGCAGTTGTAGAGGTTGTACGACGTGACTGTGATACTTGTGTATTGTTTGCTGGCCTTGTTGGTCTTATCATGTTGTTCAAAGTAAAACTATTAAAAGAATTACGGAAAGAGAAAGAACTTCTACAGCTTGATGTTATACTTTCTAAACGTCCAGTTGACGTTTCTGTTTGCATTGAAGAGTTAGTTAGATCATACATTTCTCTACTATGAACTTATAAATTTTCACGCAAGAAGGAAAAAAAAAATGCATATTATTAGAAAAATATAATTTAACATAACTGAATATAATTGAAACTATTTTACCTTTTAATAAATTTTTTCGATTTTTATTAAGCCACATAATGATAAAAGAAATTAATAGTGAGACAAATAAAACACCAACAATAATTTTTATTTCTTTTTTCATATTTTCTATGTTAGGTTCCGCATTACAACTTATTATATAACATGATATTATGATCAAGAACGATAAAATATATTTTTGTAATACATTTTTAATCATCAAGAAAAACATAATGAAAACTTTTTTTTTTTTTATTAGAAAGATTAATTCGTGGAATCTTTTTTCCTTTACAGTCAAACAATATATCGGGATAATATATGAAATTTTTAGAAATATCGATATATCAAAGTTATACCCGATATTTATACGTCCTCACATATAGTGGGAAAATAAAATTTTACAAGTTTTTAATAGTATATCGGTATATCAAATATCGGTATATTGAGGTTAGACTGTTAATTATAACTATTTATATAATTAAAAAAATTTACATTTTTTTGAGATTTCTTACTTCATTTTTAATACATAATATTTAATGTCTTAGCTTTTTTTTTCTTATGGAAAATATCATCATTATTTAATAAAAAAATTTCTTTTATGAATAATTCTTAAAATGCACGTTATGCAAATCATATTCATCATCGGTCATTTCTGTTGAAGAAAGGTTATATCTCCTGAATTCGAATATAATAAAATGTATAATGTGATGCATGTTATCCTTTTTTCGTATATCTTTTTTAACAAGAATCTTGCCTTTTTTATGATTGATAGGTTTTAGAATGAAAGTGATGACCAATTTTTTCCTATCTCTAATAATATAAAATTAATTATTTTTGGATAGATAAACTATTTGCTTTATTTATAACAATTATCAATATTCAAAACAAAAATTCTGGATATGAAACAATAACTATCTAATGACTATCTAATCTAACATGTGCAGTTCTCATTTGATGATCACAATAAAGATATTTTAACCGCAAAAGTATCGGACTTGACCCTTCTGGTGGCATCATCTTGACTCCTTATTGTAAAATATATTATGCAGGTCAAGTCAACACCGCGTCAAGAACGATACATTTGCATTTTAACCTATTGACTATAAACAAAAATTGAGAAAAAATGTCAACTGATAGGGTGGCTGTATTACGGTCATATGAAGCGCCATACTGATCAAAAGTCTGGGGTTTAAACCCCAGATCAAATCCCAGATTTATCCGGGGTGAAAATGGATTAATCCATATTTCATCCCAGATTTTCCTATATTTCACCCCGGATTTGATCCATATTTTATCCCGGATCTGATCCACATTTTACCCCAGATTAATTCCTTAAATTTCACCAAAAATTACATCACACCCAATTGTCAAACCCCGGATTAATCCATATTTCATCCCAGATTTAATCCATATTTTACCCCGGATTAATCCATATTTTATCCTGGATCTGATTTATATTTTATCCCGGATTTGATTTTATCTATATTTGATTTTATCCTGGTGATATAAATCCAACATTACGAAGTCAATTATTAATTTTAGCCAGTTAGAATTC